CCCCCCCCCCCCCCCCCCCCCCCCCGCTTTTTGTTTTGCGGTCTGTTTCTTTGATGAAGACTGCGGGCTCTGTAAGGAAAGGGCTGTGTCTTATCCATCCTGATAGACCTCTAGCCATGTCTCATAAGGGGAGGAAGGGGGCGCCACTAGCCCTGTCTCCCTGGCCTGGGCCTCTCTGCAGATCAACAAGCTGACGGGCGAGGACTCGGACCTGTACCGCTGCACTGCGGTGAACGTCTACGGCGAGGCCACGTGCTCCACAAGGCTCCTAGTCATCGAAGGTGGGCTTGTCCCCTTCCCTCATCGGCGCTTGGGGTGCTAGCCCCGGCTTTCTCCTCAGAGAGCCCTCCGAGGCCTCAGAGGCGGGACAGCTGGTGGGGTGAAAGGAGAGAGGGACAGCAAGGCCGCTGTCCATCTGGTGCCAGGGCCCTTGGCTTCACCCACTCACACGCCGAGTCTGCGTGTGGTCTAAAAGGCACTCGCTCAGCAGATGCCCACTGCAGGAGCTCTGAAGAATATTTTCTGAACCCTGAGGCGTGAGGGCGGGACCTCGAGCTCAGTTTCTGGGCCTGACCGTTTGCTAACTCCTTCAGTGGGCTTCGTTTCCTTCTCTGGGCCCCATTTCTCCACTCTATGCGGGGGATATCTTATCCAGGCCTACATCAGAGGGGCAAACAGGTCATATGAAGGCCAAATCCTTGCTCAGACAGGCGGGGCAGGGAGGTTGTTGGTTTGTCTTGACTTGCAGGGTTTCCAAATTTTAAATCAATCGTTGACGTACAGTAACGGGAAGGGGCATGTCTCTTGGGAAAGCGGATCTAGTCTTTCAGTGGCTTATGCTTTTGCCTACGAGTAACAGAAAACCCTACGAATAGCCCAAGAAATAAAGACACTTGATTATGTCACATGATAAGGAGTCCTAAGGTTAGAGTCCAGGGCTCAAATCACAGCTCAGCGCTGTCATGGGCCAGCCAGACACTTCCTGTCTCTCTGAGCTGTCACCCAAAGATGTTGGCTTAGAGCCTCATGGTCATAAGACTGCTGCTGCCGATCCAAACCGAATCCATGTTCAAGGTGGGAAGAAGGGGAAAGAGGTGGCCCCAGGTACAGCGGGCCCTTTTATCAAGAAAGCACACGTTTTCTCAGAAACACCTTGGACACTTCCGTTTGTATCTCATTGACCAGACCCGTGTCACATGGCCACTCCTGGTGCCCAGGGCAGCTGGGAAGGGGAGGAGTTAGTTTTCCAGCCTCCTTCCTACCAGTGGGAGTAGGTGATGAGGACAAGGACTGGGAACGGCTGCAGGATCAGCCAAACAGCACTGTCGGCGTTCCTGGGTGACATCCGACATGTACTCCGAGATGGCAGCTCCTGGGGGGCACGGGAGAGCCACTTCCCTCGCTTCTGCCGGCCCCTCCACCCCTGCAGACATGTTAGCGGGCTCCCCAAACCAGGTCAGCTCCACCTCAGTCACACTAAGGCTCTGGGTATCAAAGCTTATGATGGACAGACCCTCTGCCCTACGCATCCCTCTTGCTGAGCTGTTGCCTTGCCTTTGTGGACAGTGGGGAGGACGGGGCCGTGGCACTCAGCTGGTTCTCAGGAAGACCCTCAGGGTGTCTTGCTTCTCTCCCTATCTGCCCACGTTAATTTCCTCCTCTCCTCCTGATGATCCAGTTGGCTTTCGGAAGAACCGGAAGAGGCACAAGGAGCCCCAGGAGGGTAGGTGAAAGGATTGCCAGAAATCTTCTTGGGTTTTGGGGAACGGGCTACTCCACTCCTGGTGCTCCCGACTTGGCCAAGCCCCTACCAACACGTTATGGATCACCACTGGTCCACAGGAGAGCACCGTCCAAAAGCTCGGTTGTCAGCCATGGACCACAGGTCCTCCGACTGCACCCCCTGACACCCCCCCAACTCCCATTGCCACAGAAAAGTCCTGCATTAGCCCCTTGGAATCTCCCCCTGGGCTTGGGGCCTCATTGCTGCTCCTTTTCTAGACCTCAGGAAGGAGCTGATGGACTACCGAAATCTTCTGAAAAAGAGGTGGGTGTGGGCCTGTCCAGGGGCAGGGCTGGAGGCTCCCCAGCTATGTCCATGAGCCCATAGGGCTCAGCTCTCCCCTCCGCTGGCTAGAATGCTAGACTGCGGGTAGCCAGCGGGAGGAGAGAAGAGCACTGACCCTATATTCTGTTCCCTTTAAGCTCTGTGTCCTTGAGTGAATCCTCATTCCTCTCTGGGTCTTGACCATTTTGACCTCATTCCTCTCTGGGTCTTGACCATTTTTAAAATGGGGTGCTCCACTAGAACCATGATAAAAAAAAGTATTAAGGTAACAGAATAATGTGACCCCCCCCCCATCTTTCTGAGCAGTCCATAATACAAGGTGTTAGGAATGGAGTTTCTCCCCCTGAAAATTCGGACTGTGGGGGATAGCAGGGAGGCCGCCCTTGCCCATCTCTGGGTCCCCCGTGTCCCGACAGAGCTCCAGCCCAGGGCCCAACCCCCTTCCCCCACTCCCTCCATCCCGTCCCTTTCTTCTAGTGCAGAGAGAGCAGTTCCCCACAGCCTCTCAGGGTGGCAGGTGCAGGGGACCAGCTCCTGTGGCTCCGCTGGGGCTCCGCTGGGGCTCCCCTGGCCTCTGACCTGCCCGCCCTGCTCCCCAGGGCCCCGCCTCCCGCCAAGAAGAAGGTGGACCTGGAGCAGGTGTGGCAGCTTCTGATGACGGCCGACCGCAAGGACTACGAGCGCATCTGCCTGAAGTACGGCATCGTGGACTACCGCGGCATGCTGCGCAAGCTCAGGGAGATGCGGAAGGAGCAGGAGGACAAGATGGCGCAGGTACTTCCGCCCGGCCGCCGCCTCGCGGGCGCCCCCACCCGGAGCTGGGCCCCACGCAGGGTTGGCCCGCAGCCGGCCCCCAGGGCCACGTGTGGCTAGGACCCAGGCCTCCAGTCAACGTTCTGGCTTCAAAATCTGGCTCAGATACTAAAATCCGGGGCATTGGGAAAGTTAGGGCCTCCATGTCTTGATTTCCTTATCTGCCAAATGGGTGTTTTAGTTGTACCTGCCCCTTAGGATCAGGGAGAGGATGAACTAGACAATGTAATTAAAGCATTTAACTGTGCTTTAATTACTTAATAGTGCCTCACACCTGGCAAGGGCTTCCTGTCCGCTGTCATCCTCCCCAGACTCTGGATGCCTATCTTATTTCTAAAGGCTTTCAGTGGAGGGGATTTCAGCATTATGGGCTTGTCCCAGTGTCTTATAGACTGTATAGAAATTCTTTCCTGGATCTAACCTAACTATAGTATTAGTCTAATTCATCTTCTGGAAATGCAAAACAACTAGTTTTCACCATCCTGAAAATAGTATTTTATCACCTTGAAGGTGGTTCATCAAATATCCTGAGACTTAGTTTTCTGTCCTCTAAGCTTTCTCATTGACCCTAACACAGGGCTTTGCCCATAGTAGGTGCTCAACTAATTTTTATTGCCTGGAATAGCAGATGAACAGAAATGCCCTACCATGTTCTCAGAAAACCTGGACGCCTGGGGTCCTTTCTCACTTTGCTTCCTGACCTGATATCTCTCATCTTGGAAAATTTCTTCCCATCTGTAAAATGGGCAAATGCATGCTTGAGTGAAACACTGTGGAGGGGGGGCTGGGTCCAAGTGTGTGGAGTGCCCCAAAGAGAGAGCTCAGAGAAATCCCTTGGTATGTTTGTCTTTCCTAGTACGTTAACACCGTCTCCAACTTAAGACACATCAGGGTCAGCAAGGAGGGGGTCGCAACATTTGATCTGGAGCTGGATCTCAAGGATCCTGGGAGCAAGGTTTACCTGTATAAGGTGAGGCCGGAGGAGTCTTTGAGCGGGTAGGGATCTGACAGGGAGGCTGCTGGTCCTCGGGGGAGGAGCTATGGGTCCCTCGGATTCCCCTCTGGGAGCAACTCAAGCGCACAGGCACAGACGGTGAGCCTTGCCTCCCCTGGAGTTCCTGATTGGAGGGAAGTCAAACTGTGGTGTGGACATTTCACAGACTCCTCTTACTCTCACTGAGCAAACTGGTTCCCTAGCCAGGGCACCAGGATTCTTAGATTTTAAGGATTCTAAGAAAGTATACCCCTACCCCCCTGCATCTGTTTCTTGGCTCTAGCTGGTCCTGCTCCCTGTCACCGTCTTCCCTTGTATCCATACAGCTAATTCCCTCACCCACAACCAGATGTCCCCTGACCACCCTGTCTGACACTGCTGTGTCCCCCCCTGCCCCACCCTGCATCCCTGAATCCATATCCTCCTCTCTCTTTTTTCCCTACTTCTATCTCTTTCTAATATAGGTTATATGATCTGCTTATGATATATGTTATTTGTGTCCTTCCTAGAATTTTAGCTCCCTGGGGGGCAGGAATCTTTGTTTTATTCACTGTTGTGCCCCAAGTACTTAACCCAGGGCCTGGCACACAGTAGGAAACCGAAGGTGAGCTATTGTTAATATCTGGCAAGTGACAAATATATCTAGGCTTTAGCTAAAGGGGGCATGTGCATGGATTACTGGTTTTGTGGAGCTCCGAAAATACCTGATGGCTCTCTTGTTCCCCTCTGAGAATGAATGTGTCTCAGGTGTCTCTCTCAGGACACTTGCCAATTATTCACTTCATGGTCATAGTCAGGGACCACCCTCCCCTCCCTGTTTTCAAAGCCTCTGAGCCCTGCTCTCCACCCCTGTCCCTGCCCCCTTCCCCATCTCCTCTGTGGTTGCAGCAATGTTGTCTGGTGCCAGGGGCCAGTGGGAGAAAACTACCCAAAGGGGGTCGGGGCAGGAGGTGCTGGGGACCCACGGAGGCTCTGAGCCTCCCTCTTCCTTTCTCTGCCTCAGGATGGTGAGATGGTCCCCTACAGCCTTGACAACCATACCAAGCACTGTCTGCGGCGGCTGGGGAAGCGCTATCAGTTCCAGGTCCGGGACCTGCAAGCTGAGGATGCCGGCATTTACCAGGTCAAGGTGGAGGATGCCGAAATCTTCTCCACGGAACTGGATGCCAGCGGTGGGTGGTGTTCCCCCTGCTGTTGCCTTGCCTCTGTTAGGAGGAGCCCATGTTGGTGCCATGGCTGGGGATTGGAGGGGCGGAGAGTGGAAATAAATGTGCCTGCCTCTTGCCTTGCAAAGACTGTGAGGGAGCAGAATGCACACCCACGTGGTTACACTGAAATGATATCTGCTTTCCAGAGGTCTGGGTCCGAGGTCTATGTTCTCTTGGTGGTGAGCTGGGCCCTCCTGGGTTCCAGCCGCAGACGTAGTGTCTGTGCCGTGGCCCTGCTTACAGACGTTCTGCAGCAGAGATTCAATCTCCAGATTCGATCCAGACGAATTTCACAGGCTCTAGCCACAGCCCCACTCTTTTCTGCTGCAGACTCCCCCTCCCACACTCCCCAGTAAGAAGCCCCACCCAGGTGCAGCACCCTTGTGCCCTGTACAGACGTCTTCCTTCCCTGCCTTCTGTGCCTCCTCCCCACCTGGGAACTGTCCCGTCCTCTCTCATCACACTCTGTCCCATCCCCTCGAGTAGCTGTGTATGCATCACCACCCCCCCAGACCCCCCCTTGGAGTACTTTAAAGTTCCAGAGACCTCCTGGGAGCAGGAGAGACCTGGAAAGGAAAACTGTGGGCAGGCAGAACATAAAGAACATGGTTCTAAATCAATGTTAAGGAAGAAAGAGGGCATGAGATCTCCAGCAGGCCTGGTACTCCTGGACAGGGCTTTGAAAAGCTGAGAAATGGCATGGCATAGGGGAAGGGGAGAGGGACTTTGGTTTCAGCTGGACCTGGGTGTGAATTCTGCCTGGGCTGCCTCTTAGTTGGGTAAGACTTGGTTTCCTTACTTGTAAAAAGGAAATAATAATACCTATCTGGGAGGTGGTCCTAGGATTCATAAGAGACCATGACCATCAGCATATTGGTTTTCTTCATATACCCATCTTACCCCCAGACATAATCTCTGGATTTAGGATCATGGAATTCCAGAGCTGAAAACGGTCTTACAGTTTGTAACCTCGTTATAAGCCCTCATTTTATGTTGGGAACTGTCACCTGGGGTAAGGAGGTGACCTACCCCAGCTGACACAGGAGGTCTGTGACTGAGCTGGTCTAAACCTGGGCTCCTGAGCTCCTGGCCGTGCTGTCAGGTCACACTGGGTTAGGCCGCCAAGCTAATGTCCCCATTCCTGCTTCCCCGACAGCCATCCCCTCCAGAGTGGTGGTCCCGCTGGTTGAGGCTCACTGTGAAGAGCAGGGCGATGCTGTCTTCGAGTGTGTTCTCTCCAGCCCCTGCCCCCACGCCGCCTGGAATTTCCGGCACCGGCCCCTCCAAACCAGCGACAAATACGAAGTGTTTGTGTCCCCTGATGGGCTGACCCACCGGCTGGTGGTCAGGGGGGCCCATTTGTCAGACATGGGCCCTTACTCACTGGGCACTGGATTCCACAGCTCTACTGCCTGGCTGGTCGTTGGAGGTGAGTGGTTCATACCTCTGTCTTTCTCTCTCTACCAAGACAAGAGTCTGGGGCTGAGAAGGGCATGGAAAAGGCCAGGGCCAGGGGCTTCCTTTGGTCAGTCATTTGCTTTTGATGATTCCTTCGGTCTCTGAGAATGAAGACAGCTCCTGAGATCTATTCCTGACCCACTGCAATGACGGCCCTTCCTGGGCAGCCCGGTCCTCTTCCACTGTCTGGGCCCCGTGTGCCTCTAGGAATGCTTCTGGGGACACAGATCCAAGGTGGCCTGAGGGTCCTGGCTAGGGCTTGGCTCCGATCCAGTATGGATGAGAACCTGGGTCAGGCCAAAGGACACCCTTAAATCCCCTACAGATATGGATTCAAGGTGATCCTAGGAAACTGTAAAGTAGGCATTTTTAAGGCAGATGGTGAGCAAATAGCTCTTTTAAAAATCACACAACTGTTCGTGGCAGTTTGATAAGCAGGTGAGTTTTGGGTTCTGTATTTTCCCAAAAGTCCTTATGGACCATATAGCAGGGCACGGTGGTTTGTGGGCACAGGGCTGGGGGAGGTGGCAATAGGACTCATCTATCAGGAAGCTGGCATACCCTGGCTTCCTTCTGAGATGGTCAGCTTTTTCTCTGCTGGGGAAACTGAGAGGCAAAGCAGTTGAGGTTAGACAGGTGCCTTGGACTAATTTAACAGGTCTTTTCTTTTGTCTCTCAATGGGGGCATTGACCTCTTCTCAAAGCAGGGAAAGAGAAAAGCCTTCTGACTGCAAGTGCTGGCCGTCAGCAGCAAGCTCAAGGAGCCCAGACCTCAGAAGCAGAAGATTCCAGGAGCATCAGTGGCAAGGGAGGGAAACCCAGAAAGCAGGGCCTGCTGGAGGGCTCCCTTAATGGGGCCAGGCCTGCTTCTGGGCTCCAGCTCACAGCTGACCTAGAGACAGGTGGCCTTGGTGGGCATGGCTACTCCCTGGTAGGGAGTGATGGGGCAGCTGGCTTAGCCTGGGACCCTGGGCACGCAGGAAAGGGCTTTCTGGAAGGAGAGGGAGGCACAGTCACTGCCCTTAGGGAAAATCAACTCCACAGAGAGGGTGGCTGGAGCAGAAGCCTTCCAGGGAGCCCCTATGCACAGGGAGAGGGCCTAGAATCAGGTTTGGGTCTCATGGAAGTTCAACAGCAAGATCATGGCACAGGCAGTGATGGGGACAAATGCCATAGGACAGTAGGAGGCTGGGAGGCTGAGTCCAAGTACCCTCAGGTGGGAGGACTGGGGAGCAGCAGGGAAGGAGAGGAGTACAGAGAGGACCACAGGAGTCCTCTGGACAGGCATAACCAGGAACAACTCTTCAGTGCTTATTTGGGACCTGGGAGAGGAAAGACAGCCCTGAAGGGATCCCAGTCTGGTCCTATGGACTCTTGGTCAGAAGGAGGAGTGATGGAAGAGATTTTGCAGGGGGAAAACTTGGGTGAGGTGGAGGGAGGGGATGATTTGAGCAGGGAAAGACAGAGAGGAGCCACAAGGGCAGTGTGGGGCTGGGAGACTGGCCTGGGGGAAGCTGGAGACAGCAGTGGGGCAGGTGGTCCTGGGGCCCAGGAGAATCCTGGAGAACGAGCTTCTAGCTCCAAGACAGGCATAGGCCCTGAGTCCTGGGGCTCTCAGAGAGGCAGAGATGCTGATGATGGGGAAGAAGAGGGCTGCTGGGGGCCAGGGGAGTCTCGAGGGCAGATACCTAAAGGAAAGAACTCCCAGGAACCATCAATATCTGGTAGCAGAAGTTTCCTCCTGGGAAGAGGGGGGCCTGAGGCCAAAGCTGAGAGGTCACTACAGACAGCTGGTCAAGGCCCAGGGAAGTCTGTGGGTGGGGGAAAGGGCTACAAAACCAGCCCCACAGGCCCAGGAGGTCCCAGGGGCTGGGAGAAGGGCCTACAGGGGCCCAGGGGAAGGGAGAGCCAGAAGACAGTAGGGGACTTGGGTGAGTCAGGGGATGGCTCTGGAAGCTTCCAGTGTTCCCAAGGCTGGCCAGCAGGTCAGTGGGGGGCAGAGGATGCTGGCAGAATAGAGTCTGAGAGCACAGATCCTTGGGATGACACAGAGTCCAGCCTCAGCAAAACTGGGGCCCACCACAGACCTGGACTTTTGGGGTCTGGGGATGGGGAAAGTGGTGTGGGTGGTACCCAGGGGTCTGGACTGATGGGGTCTGGTCAGGGGGTGGATGCCAGAAGCCACAGGCTAATTGGGTCTCCAAGCCTGGGTGCTCAGGGTTCTGGGAAGACACTAGGAGACACCGGTGGATTAAAAGGTCCAGGGACAATAGGCTCTGAACCAGATTTCTGGAATGGGTCATGGAACTCCAGAGGAAAAGGACCCAGAGGTAAGACAGGCTACAAGGATGGCTTAGGAGGTCCAGGGAGGATGGAATCTAGGTATGGCGATGGCACAGGGTACGCTAGAGGAGTAGGTCCTGAAACTGGGGCTGGCTATAGCGACGGCTCAGCAGTGTCAGGAGAAATGGGATTCGGTTATGGCACTGGTTGCAGAGTGGCCTCTGGGGCATCTGGCGGAACAGAGTTTGAGAAAGGGGATGGTTTTACGCATGGCTCAGGTGTGCCTGGCGGAATGTGGTCTGGAAACGGAGATAATGATGGTCCTGCAATATGGCGGTCTGGGAGAATTGCTAATCTCAAGAATGGCTCAGGTGGCCATGATAGAGGGCCCAGCGATGAAGCCAGGATGCCTCCGGAGGCCAGGGATGCATCCAAAGCCCAGGGGGATGCTGGCCCTGGGGGAAGGCATCATTCCAGCCGTGGCCTAGGGAGCCCTGGGACAGTGGGGTCTGTGGGGAGAGGTGACCTCGGGGCCTCGGCAACTATGGAGGCTGTTGGGGAAGGACATGCAGAAGCAGAACCAGGGGTCTCTGGAAGAATAAGGCCTTGGGGTCAGACTGGAGACTACGGGGACTTCAGAGCCTCAGGGGCTCTGGGGGCCTTTGGAGAAGGAGGCCATGAAGAGGGCCCTGGGGAAGCCATGGAGCCGAGGTATCTGAAGGCAGGTGACAAAGTGAATGATGGGGTTGGGACCAGGGGCCTTGGTGCTAGGGTCCCTGGAGCTGGAGCTGGTCATTGGGACGATACCAAGGTCCCCGAGGCGCTGGCTCCTCAACCTGGAGTCAGTTCTGAGAGCCAAGGAGCTTATGGGCCTGGTGGCGTGCCTGGTCATGGGGGTGGATCAGGAATTCCAGGGTCTCAGCAAATTGGAAGCAGAACAGCTTATAGAGGAAGGTCAAAGGGTCTTGGGTCTGGGGGAATGGGGTCAGGGGGTGAGGCAGATTATAAGGATGGTATTGGGGTTTCTGGGGAGATGGGGTCAGTAAATGAGGCAGACTATAGGAAAGATTCAGGGACTCCTGAGGGAATGGGTTCATTGGGTAAGGCAGATCATAGGGATGATTTAGGGGGCTCTGGGAGAATGGGGATGAGGGGTGAGGCAGGTTATGGGGATGGCTTGGGGGGTTCTGGAAGAATAAGGGCAGGGGGTGAGGCACGTTATAGGCATAGCTTGGGGGATTCTGGGAGAATTGGGTCAAGGAGTGAGGCAGGTTATAAGGATGGCTTGGAGGGTTCTGGGAGAATGGGGATGGGGGGTGAGGCAGGTTATAAGGATGGTTTGGGGGGTTCTGGGAGAATGGGGATAGGGGGTGAGGCAGGGTATGGGGATGGCTTAGGAGGTCCTGGAAAAATGGGGTCAGGGGCTGGGGAAGGTTATAGGGATGGCTTAGGAGGTCCTGGGAGAATTGGGTCAGGGGGTGAGACAGGTTATAAGGC